CAATCATTAAGGCATTGAAAAGAGGTGTGAGGGAGATAGAGCTTCATGGCCTAATTCGTCGAGAGATAATGTGAATGTTCTTCATGGAAGGTATGTGATTAATTTCCAAATCTGTAAGCCTTTGAATTGTTGTATTATGATCTCCTCAACATGTCTCATTGTAGTAATCCCCTGAAATTGCGCTTCTTATATTTTTTTTGTCTAGTACTGTTTCTCTCTATCCCTCTTTCAAAGAGGGTAATTACTTTTAGGGAGGTGACTACCATGAGTCTCGACTTAAGATAGTGATGCCCGTCTTTATTTAAAGCCCCTGCTATGTCAGAATTTTATGATAGATTTTGTACAAGGAGTTTAGGATTATGCTTTGAATATATGCATGTTTAATTAATTAGAGTTTACAATAAAGCCACCTTCATACATTTACATTATAAAGTACTTATAGGCCAATTGTTTTTCGGTGACATTTATACTTCGCACATACTAAAGTATTTATCACACTAGATATAACTTTTGCTTATGTACATAGCCAAATAATGATGTTCATGGTTTCCTTTGAACAAGTTTCGTACTTTATGACATCGCTCGTCATAGTTAACTGCGTAGATTTCTAATTGTATTTATAATCTTGTAAGCACATATGTTGCATTTACGATTAATTATTCATGTTAAGTGAAAGTATACTTTTGTTTAACAATTCACTAGCATTCCATGTTAAGTAAACTTCACTTTACGTGTTGTTTAGTTTGCACCCATGCCAGAGTAATTACATCTGTATTTTGCTAGTATAACCAAAAAGCTGACTGAATACAAAATTTGACAAATTGACATCATTGAAAATGGAAAGTAAGGGATAAATACATACTAATATTATGTGTAATTTGTAAAAATATGTAAGAATATGCATTCTATATAACATAACCGCTGGATAAATACAAATTTTCTAATTTTAGAAGAAATGCCTGGTGTAATTTTCCGGTTGAAAGATCAACTCGTCCCACTGCTTCACTTTCAGGGATATGGTAGAGCACTATGGTTGATGCACGGATGTTTAGATCAAATGGAGGGTGTGGTTATGTGAAGAAGCCTGATCTTTTAATGAGCAGCAGACCACATAATGAGGCATTTAATCCTAAAGCAAAGTTGCCAGTGAAGAAAACTTTAAAGGTCTCACACCACTAAAAGCAAATATAGTTACATTTCCTTCCATCTATATAATTTCTAAGATGCTTTAAGTTACCTGCAGGTGAAAGTATATATGGGTGATGGATGGCACTTCGATTTTAAACAAACTCATTTTGATTTGTATTCACCACCTGATTTCTACACTAGGGTAAGTTATATAGCCTTCCTCAACCAATGTAGTCATGACACTACTTGGTTTATATTTCAATGGCTAACATTGATTAAAACAAAGTTTAGTTCATGTAAAGATAGGTCATAAAGTTACTTCAAATATTTGCTGTATGTATTTATGAGTCAAATCTATCGAGCATGTTGGGATTGCCGGAGTGCCTGCCGATGAGACAATGAAGAAAACAAAGACACAAAAGAGGACAATTGGACACCTGTTTGGGATGAAGAGTTCACTTTCCCATTGACCATTCCTGAATTTGCTGTACTTCGAATTGAAGTGCACGAGTATGACATGTTTGAGCTATATGGCTGGGCTATTTCTAGGATAAAAGTTAGGAATAACATTCGCTTGACAAATTAGAATGCATATTTTTTTTTATAGCATAACTATCTATTCTAACGTTGCCAGCAAAGAATAAACAAGAATCTAAAATGTTTGATTGGTTCTCTCTTCTATTGATTCTCTTTAGGTGTCCAAATCTTCTATTCTCAAATATCTTTAAATTTAGCTATGGTTTGCCTTCTTTTTTTTTTCCCTTGGTGACATTAGGAGCATATTGGATGGTTAAATAAAAAAATTAAAAGTGAGACACATGATGATAAATTGCTTGCCTTGGTTTATGTCTATGTCCATACTATATGTCCTTTGCTTTCACAATTGTTTGTTCCTCTGTTATTTTGATTCCCTGTTTTCTAAGTCTTAAAGACTTGTAATTTTATATATGGTATATGTTTTTTCCCTGATTTTTCTATGTTATATATGTTTTTTTTCTCGCTGTTTTTGGTTTTGATTCTACTTTCTACTACCATATGTCATTTGCCTACCCTTGGTTAGAAAAATCCTACACTCTTGTTAGTTTACTTTCATCTAAAATTTTTTGGAACATGAATGTCATTCATAAAATTTTATTTAGTTACTCCAATAGTGTACTAACATGCCACCTCAACTTAATGTTTCCACGATGATTTCTTACCAAGAATGTCAACCCCTTAGAACATATATTTAAATTGTTCTTTTGGTGAGTTGTGTTCCTTTTATATGATGACTTTGAGAAGTCTTTGAATCTTTGTTGGAGTGTTTTGTAAATTTATCTTACTAGTTTATTTATATTTGTCAATGACGAGGAGATTTCAGGCGAGGGTGTGGGACAAGTCTTCCCAATATGGAACACCGATGACGCAAGAGAAAATATCAAGATAGGTACTTGGGAAGAAGGGATATTTAAGAGGATTTGGGATCAGCCCAAACTCTCTTCCTCCGATTAAGGATCAAATGTTGCAGCACAATGAGAGGTGGAGACGCAATGACTTTGGATCCAAGGTGGAGATTACTTTTGGAATGAAACATATTACTATTGGCCTGGTATAGATTATTAGTGGATATTTCTTTTTTATGTACGGAGGACATGATTTTTGTATGATTCTTTGTTTGTATGGAATTATTATTTTAGAATGGATTATATTTAGTTTGTATGGAATTTGACATTAAAAGACCAAATTTTTAGATGGCTGAAAATGAAATAGAAACAGGTATATGTATGGTTTTATTTGTATACATGTTACACAAAATAAATAAAGGTTGTGAAGAAATTAATAATAATTAAAAAAAAACACTAAATAAAGTTTTTGGTGACTAATCGTTTAGTATTTTAAAAAAAAAAAAAGGAAAGTAAACTTCTTGGCGACCAATCAATTGATAGCTCAAAAGGAAATCAATATTTTTAAAGACTAAATATTTGGTAGCCAGAAATAAACCAAAGATTTTTGGTGACTAAATAGTTTAGTAGTTAAAAAAATAAGTTGAAAATAATTTCTTTTGGCGACTAAACATTTAGTAGCCAAAAATAAATGAGACTTTATGCGACTAAATAGCTTAGTAGCTAAAAAAATTAGATGAAAAAATAAATTTTTTTTGTGACTAAATATTTAGTAGTCAAATAAATGAGACTTTGGGTGATTAAATAATTAGTAGCAAAAAATAAAATAAAATGAAAAAAATAAAAAATTGGCGACTAAATTCTTTGGTCCCTAAATGTAGTAATATTGTGACTAAAACTTATCCACAACTAAAAATTTTCGCTGCTGAAAACTAAAATTAATTTTATTTCAAAACTTTTGGAGACTTTAGTCGCTAATTTATGATTTTTGGCGACTAAAAAACATTTAGTCGCCAATACCTTTCCTGACAATTAGTCAATGACCAATTTGGCAACCAAAATATTTTTAGTCGCTAAAAACTTTCGGTGATTAAAACTTGACCTTTGGCGACTAAAAATTTAGTTGCCAAAAGTGTCATTTCTTGTAGTGAATTGAAATATCAAAGATTAAAATGTCACTAATTAACCTCATACTTTGGACCAGTATAATATTTAACCCAGCTTAACATATGTGATAATTAGGGAGTGTTTGGGAAATGATTTTTTTTTTTTTTTTTGGGGCTAAAATTCACAACAAAAAAAATAATAATAAAATAAAATAAAATAGTCAATAAGACAAAATGTCATATCAAATTCATAATCATTTTTTTTTTCTCACGCACATCACATCCAACTATAAAAAAATTCAATCACCTTCCAACCACAACTATTTTAATCTACTAAAATAGCCAACTTACCAAATAAGGCCTTAGTATTAATTTTAGCAAACTTATGCAGAAGCAAGCTAGTGAAGGCTCGAGATGATGTTTCACCCACATTGTTTGCGATGATTCAAAGACATTTGTAGAAGCTCCTCCACAAGTAGATTGTTGAAAATAATTTCTTTTGGCGACTAAACATTTAGTAGCTAAAAATAAATGAGACTTTTTGCGACTAAATAGCTTAGTAGCTAAAAAAATTAGATGAAAAAATAAATTTTTTTGTGACTAAATATTTAGTAGTCAAAAATAATGAGACTTTGGGTGACTAAATAATTAGTAGCAAAAAATAAAATAAAATGAAAAAAATAAAAATTTGGCGACTAAATTCTTTGGTCCCTAAATGTAGTAATATTGTGACTAAAACTTATCCACAACTAAAAATTTGTGCTGCTGAAAACTAAAATTAATTTTATTTCAAAACTTTTGGCGACTTTAGTTGCTAATTTATGATTTTTGGCGACTAAAAAACATTTAGTCGCCAATACCTTTCCTGACAATTAGTCAATGACCAATTTGGCAACCAAAATATTTTTAGTCGCTAAAAACTTTCGGTGATTAAAACTTGACCTTTGGCGACTAAAAATTTAGTTGCCAAAAGTGTCATTTCTTGTAGTGAATTGAAATATCAAAGATTAAAATGTCACTAATTAACCTCATACTTTGGACCAGTATAATATTTAACCCAGCTTAACATATGTGATAATTAGGGGGTGTTTGGGAAATGATTTTTTTTTTTTTTTTGGGGCTAAAATTCACAACAAAAAAAATAATAATAAAATAAAATAAAATAGTCAATAAGACAAAATGTCATATCAAATTCATAATTTTTTTTTTTTTTCTCACGCACATTACATCCAACTATAAAAAAATTCAATCATCTTCCAACCACAACTATTTTAATCTACTAAAATAGCCAAAAACTAAATAAGCCAACTTACCAAACAAGGCCTTAGTACTAATTTTAGCAAACTTATGCAGAAGCAAGCTAGTGAAGGCTCGAGATGATGTTTCACCCACATTGTTTGCGATGATTCAAAGACATTTGTAGAAGCTCCTCCACAAGTAGATTGAAATTATTATAAGAAGACCCACCTTCAATCACTGCAGCTTCGGCTTTCTTCTTCCAATCCATGGCCTTGTTCCTCAGCTTCTTTCCTTCCTCGCCTTCAAGTATTTTGCTAACAAGATCTTGAACTTGTTCTCGCTTCACATCGTGTTCGATCTCCACACCTATCCCCCATGTGGTGCAAGCATACCTACAGTTCACTTGTTGCTCTGCAAAAAATGGCCAACAAATCATTGGCACCCCTCCACAAACGCCTTCCAATGTAGAGTTCCACCCGATGTGAGTCAAAAACACTCCAATTGATGGATGAGACAGAACTTGATCTTGTGGGCACCAACTCGCTATCAAACACCTATCCTTAGTCTCCTGAACGAATGGTTCTGGCAACATTGTTGACTCACCCATCACAAGATCAGATCTGACAATCCATAAAAATGGGTACCCGCTATTCGCAAGCCCCCATGCAAATTCTTCCAAATGCTTGTCACTCATGACAGCAATGCTACCGAAGTTAACATAAACTACTGAGTTGGGCCCTTGCTTGTCAAGCCAATCAGTGCATTCATTGCTCTCTTTCCACAGGCTTGACCTTCTGGAGTTCACTTCATTCTCTGGCAAGCTTTTGCAAAGCAGTGAGAGGGGGCCAACGGTGTATATGCGAGGGAATATAGATGTGACTGCCTCCAAAACCTCATGCTCAAATTCGCTGAATGCATTGAATACAATTGCATGGGATTTTAAATTGTTTTGTGCCTCTTCTAACCATCTGTTGAAGGCGATATCGTTAGGGTTTGTACTTCTGACAAAGCTCGGCATGTCCTTCATTCGCATGTTTTTCATTCCTGGTATCCAGTCTAGCAGAGTGTTGAGATAGCCATTAGTGATGTCGTTCTCATCTGTGAAACGAATGACAGTATTTGCTAAATCATTTCATACAACTTGTTAAAAGTAAAATGGCATGTACAGCATATTCTCATTTTCATGAAAAATACATAAAGCAATCAATCAAAAACCATGATCTCAAGTCTCATGAAATAAGAAGACTCCAAATACTTTCAAAGATGCAACAAAAGTCAGATGTCTAGAATCTTTTCATCGTATTTGGCCAGTGAAATGTTGAAGCATTTTGTACGTCAACAATACTTGAACTATAAAGTATGGTCACTCCAAAAATATTATCATGTGTATACAATACTGGTATGGGGCATGGGTATCGATATGTCACATGCATACTACATACGGGAAATACTTTAGGTATGACTTTGGTACAACATGAGTAAAGGGGTAAGTATGGAATGGATACGTTTTGTGTATGGGATAGGTATATTTTAAGTACTTTTTTTTTTTTTTTTATCAACAAAAGAAAATTTTATAAATGAAAAAGCTGAAACTTACACAAAGCTTGCAACAATAAGGATGGGAGGTGCAACGAGCGTCAAAGCTAAACTCAACAATCTCAACTAAGTTGGCACCGAAGAGCAAACCCATATACAAGCACATAGCCCAAGATTGGCGAGCAACCAATCAAACAAACAGAAAAGGAAAGAAAAGAAAACAAATCTTTCTAGTACTTTTATATTTTAAGTACTTTTGTAGGTACTTCAAGGCATAAATGTCAAATTTTTTTTTTAAATATAAAAGTACTAGAAATATTATGTTGAGTCTATTTCTAATTTTTTTTTTTTAAATATAGAACATTTTTAGAATTATCAAAATTAAAAAATACTTAGGGTTCTTTTTTTGACCATTGCAAAAATATTTTAATTATTTTTCCATTTAATTTTTTAATTATTATATATCATCTACGTACTATTATAAATTATAAAAATATATTTTATGGATGTGGCCGACTATACTAGTATCTTACTTTCTAAAAAGAACTTTTGCCTTATTGACTTATTGACGTATCAGTAATGTGCCCACACTTGCATGTCCACAAATTAGCCATTGATGAACCTGGACTCTTAAATTTTACACTTACATGTCCACAATTTTTTAACCAATCAAAGAATTATATTTCATAACTTACTATACAAATTAATCGTAGATGAACCGGACTATACCTTTCAAAGGAAAAATGCCTCTTTTGGGAAGCTCCACAAACTGAAGATAGGCCATGAACCCACATGAGGAAGCAGTCCAGAATTGAAACTCTGGTATGCCCAGTTCCTCTGCCACCTCAATAGCAAAGCTCATGATTCCATCAGAAATAACTACACTAACCGGAGGCGAATCCTCCAGAGAGTTGAGCTTTCTGATCAGATCGTGAAGTGGGGCCAGACTGTGTTTCTGAGTATAATACAAGAGGGAAGTGACACTTTGGGTGGCATTAGGGTTAGATGGTGGCACCCCATCAGGAATGGTTTGGAACTTAAAAAAAGGCGAGTCCTTCACCGAGTTGGAACCCCTGGACTGGACCAAACGGCTATGGTTGAACTCAGTATTAACAAAGGTGATATAGAAGCCTCTTGAGTGAAGAAGCTTTGCTAGTTGCATCATTGGGTTAACATGTCCCTGGGCTGGGAAAGGGATAAAAATAGCATGGGGCTTCTTAGTGGCAAGAGACTCCATCAGGAACTTCAACTATAGATACAGTAAAATGAAATGCTAGCTTGGCTTGCTAAAGTTTCTCTAAGCTGAAACTTTATATAGATAAAAGTGAAAGTTAAGGTGCTGTTTGGTAACAGTTACGTGTTTTTAGTTTTCTATTTATATTTATAAAAATTTTAAAAACTTAAATAAAAATTTGTTTGGTAAAATTTTTGATCTATAAATCAGTGGTCTCAGTTTATAAATTTGGCCAAAAAATGAAAATACAAAAAATGTGTTTCCATTTTGAGTTTTCAATTTTTTTTTTATTTTTTTACCACCCAACACTAGCCACCACCCGCCACTATTTTCCACCACCACCACCCCCCACCCCCGACGATTTACTTTTATTCGATCCGTCGAAAATGACATAGGATTTCACATTACAATGCCTACTCCTACGCGGTTTCTCCCTCATCATCACCTTTTTCGACTTTAAAAGCGGAGAAGGGAAAATTATCACGTTGGTACAGTGGTAACGCCGAATCAACACCCCCTGCTCGAAAAGGCTCCGCGGCCTGAAGTGCCTTAATCCAACCGTGCCTAAAGCCGCGATTCTCGCATCGGCAGACCTCCTCCGCAAGATTCTCCTTGGTTTTGTCGATCCAAATCTTCCGGCCCGCATGAAAGCCTTGTTCATATCCCACGGCCCTTGCATTTTCCACGGCGAACATGCTTGCCATCTCCCTATCGGCTATCGTGTGACTTAACAGCCGTTGGGTCCCTCTAACGACATGATGCGGGTTAGATTGACCTGCCACACGCGGCTCGGTGGTTTAAGCCTTTCTAAGTTCCCTAAGCTCACGCTCGGCCTTCTCTGCGCGAGCCTTCAAGTTCCAAATTCGTTCGTCTTTTTTCTCTATTTCTCGCCGCGCGACGTGTAGGCGCATGCCGACTTCATAAGCGGCGTACAACCCTTTCACCGCCCCGTGGATGCCCTCTCGAAATACTTCGAAATCCTGTCGACCAACTATCGACTGCTGGACTTCCGGTGGAAAAATCTGTCGCACTCGCTAACCACCCCCACCCGCCACCGTTACCCACCCACCCACTACCACCACTGCCACCTACCCACCACCACCACCTACTCGCCACCACCCACCACCACCCGCCATCTGCCACCCACCTGCCACCACCACCCGCCACCGCCACCGCCCACTCGCTACCACCCACCACCTGCCACCGTCACCCACCACCAGCTACCCACCACCCGCCGTCACTACTTTCCACCACCGTCTTTCGCCGCCACTTGCCACCACTTGCCATTTTTCGCTCTTTTTTATATTTTTAAAATTTTTTAAACATTTTGTCAATTACCAAACGCGTTTGTAGTTTATGTTTTTCTAAAAATAAACAAAAAATAAACAAAAATCAGTTTATAAAATTTTTGTAAATAAAAATTGAAAACGTAAACGTTACCAAACACACCCTAAATGTATCACCTATATATCTGTTTAGTGTAAGTTTTTTGCAAGCTGAAAGTCGATAATAGCATGAGGCTTTTTCTCAGTGGCAAGAGCCCCCTTTAGCACCTTCAAGACTAAACAGTAAAATGTGGGCTTGCTAAAGTGTCTCTAAGCTTAGCTTTATATAGAAGTAAGTTGTATTATTGTGCTGGACTGTTGTGAGATTTGAAAAACAAACAACAAATGAAAGAAACTCCAACTGTGGATCCCATGAAAGCTATGAAACAATTTGGTTTCAACTTTTTTATTTTCCAAATGAGACACCTAATTAAAGGTGCGTTTGGAAAATAAAAGTCAAAATAATTTAATTTATACAAAAAGTCAAAGATTCTTTCCTATTCACTCTACTTTTTACTTATTTTTTTCGTAAAAAATCAAAAATTCTTTTCTAATTTTTTTTATCTTCTATTTTAGCCAACAAATCACTATATTTTTTTTATTTTTTTTTCCAAACAGGTTCTAAGATGGATATGATCAAGTAATTACAGCATGCTCCTAGAAGGTATGAATATATATCAAACAAGTACAAGCCAAACGCATGTGCACACTTTTCATTCATCGAGTCTTTTATTGATGAAATAACCAACAGAATGGAACATGCATTAGTTGCCCTATGGCAATTGCCAAAACAAAACAAAAATTTGAAACAATTAATAGGGTTATTAGTTGCCTTTTTAGTCCACAAAATAGGCAAGTTAGTTATTTTTAGTGTCAATCTTTAAATTATATCAATTTAGTTTTAAATTTATAAAAAGTGTTTTGATTTGGTCTCCAACCCAACTCTACTTGTAGATGCCGTTAAATTCATGAATAAATGTGTAAATGTAATTAAAAATATATGTTTTTAATCTTTAAAGTATGTGATGTGTGAACCAACAGAGTTAGTCCGATTGGCCAGAACTCTTACATCTTATTATGAGGTGAGCAGTTCGAATCTCTCCACCTGCATGTGAGGCTTATTCCCTAATATATTAATTGGAACTTTTTCTCCCACTTTGGGAGTTCCTTTGTAAAAAATTTATATTATATTTGATTTTCATTACTATAATTATAATTCAGGTAAATTACATATACACTCCATGAGGTTTATTTAAAATATGAATTGCCCTCTGTGGTTTGAAAATTTACAAATACCTCCCTGTCAGAATTTTTTGTTTAACATAATTAATTGTAAAAGTGAAATTTCTAACTGTTTACCTATACAATAATAAAATTATCTGAATTATTAATTGAAATAAAATTTTAACATTATTAAAACATGTTAATTAGCTTGATGATTTGTTAACAAAACGACCTATTTGTTATGAAATTAGAAACCTTAAAAGGCATAATGTAATTTCTAAAATCACAAGAAATCATTTGTAATTTAAGTAAATCTCAGGAGGTGTTTTTGTAATTTACCTAAATAAAAAAAAGCATGTGATCTGTGTCACTTTAAAATCTATTTGTGTAATTAACTTCTAAGTTGAGCATACTCAAACCAAGCCAAGAGACACAAGAGTGTCCTTAGATATGGTTTAAGACGTGAAACCACGTTTTCGAAATTTGAATTGGGAATGGATAAAAACTTGAAATTCTTAAAAAATCAAAGTTATATAAAATGATGTGGACTATTTTAGGTCAATTATTAATTAATTTAAAAATTAACCATTTAAAACTTAATTCTTTATGACACCATTAAGGTAAATTTAGAGATGATGTTTTAAAATTTCTTGCATTTCTTTATTAAGAATCTATTTCAAATTAAAATCAGATGGCTTAAATTTATTTTTTTTTTGGTAAACAAGATGGCTTGACTTTCTCGTGTCAATTTTCAAAAATAAAGTTGAAACAAAATTTATTCAACACAATTGAAATTGTGCTAAATTATGTTAAGGGATAATTACAAATAAAACCCTAGATTTTGCTCCTTGTAACAAAATAAATTCTAAATTTTTAATTTTGTCAATTTAAATCATAATTTTTTGATTTATTTTCAATCTAAACTATTTACCTATTTTTGTTAAGTAAAACTGACAAAAAAAAAGAGATATTTTAACTATTAAACTCAATGTAGGTGTACAGGACATATTTAAAATATTATTTTTCATTGAGTTTAATGATTAAAATACCCTTAGCAAAAGTAGATAGATGGTTTAGATTAAAAATAAATTAAAAGATTAGAATTTAAATTAATAAAATTAAAAATTCAAGCTTTATTTTGTTACAAGGGTTAAATCTTGGGTTTTTTTTTTTTTTTCTTGTTTTGTAATTGCCCCTTATAATAATAATTAGATATACTCTATGTGTAAAGTATATATTTAGAGGTAATGTGAATTAAGGATCGCATAAATGATTAATGTGTCTTTTGTGCTTTCTTGTTTGTTGGGGAAAATTCACTATAGCCTCTTCTACTTTGCTCCCAAAGCAACTTTTGGTAGTACTTCTATGTTCTGCCCCCCTCTTTCTTTCTTTTTTTTTTTTTTTTTTTTTGAACAATGGAAACAAAAATACTTGATAATTGTTTTGTTTCTAAAAACTGACACTTATTTTCAAATTTTGAGAAATTAAAAAAAAAAAAAAAAAGTGTTTCACTTATTTTTCAAAACTTTTTTTTTTTTACCTTCTAGTCCTCTACCCCTTCGGTCACCTCTCCTTTGACAACTCATCAAATATGTTTTTTATTTTTTTAATATATTTTGAAAATATATATGTGTACCAAATAAGTTATTTGTGAATTACTTTTAATAAGCAAAAATATGTTTTATTGATGAAATAAGAGTTCTGTTCCTAGAAGGCATGCCTATACTACAAGTCCAAGTGCATGTGCATACTTTCATTATTACAGATGTAGATGAAATAAGCAAACAATATGTATAACAAAGGAATACATCAAATAGAAACAACATGCATTAGTTGCCCTATAGCAATTGCAAACAAAAACAACTAATAAAGTGATAAAAAGCACAATTTTATTTTTTTTTTGGAATAATTAATAGGGTTAATATTTTTTTAGTTTTAAAAAAGTATGTAACTAAGTTGTGTTATTTTAGTCTCTAATTATTTAAATTGTGACAATTCAATTTCAAAAGTATGAAAAGTGTTTCGATCTGATCTCTAACCTAACTCCATCTCAAGAGCCACTAGAGTGTCCCTAAGGATGCCTTTGTGCCCAACTAATCATGTTTGGTCATTTTCCCATACCGTTCTTATTTTTTTGGGCCATGTAAGTACACAATTCCTTACTATTAGATGGGCACACTGCCATCTTAAAATTCCAGGAAGACCAAATAATTACTCGTGTAGTATCATCAAAATTTTCGAAATGGGACAATGATGCACAAACAGAAGATTTGTACACAATTTTTATATAGAAAGATGTGTCATTTTATCTTTGTTTCATTTCTAACTAAAACACTCTTAATTATGACTTATAATTTTAACATTTTCATTGGGTAAGAAATTTTGTTTGTAAACAATTTTTCTTTAGAATGTGGTTTAGGACATGAAATCCATGTTTTCAAATTGGTATTGAGAATGAA